AAGGTAACAACCAGGTCATCCGCAAATGCTCGTACCTTGTATTCATGCTGTCTAATTTTAATTCCCTTAATTGTATTCATCTCGCATATCTTGTTTAATAAAATTTCCAGCGTCAAAATAAACAATAACGGGGACAAAGGACAGTCTTGCCTTGTTCCTTTTTCTATGTTAAAAGCATCTGTTAAACCACCATTAACTATTATTTGCGCTGTTTGTTTTTGATATATTGCCTTAATAGATTGTACAAACTGTTCTCCAAATTGCATCCTTTCTATTAGTTTTAGTAAAAATTGCCAATTCAATCTATCAAAGGCTTTCTCAGCATCCAAGAACACAAGCACTGCGGGGACCTGGTTGTTCCTTCCCAAATACTCTAATAAATTAACAATTTGCCTTACATTACTCTTCATTTGTCTACCATTTATAAAACCAGTTTGATCATGGTGAATCATTTGCTGCATGACTGTCATTAATCTATTTGCCAAAATTTTAGCAATCTTATAGTCTATATTTAATAATGAAATTGGCCTATAATTTTTAGGATCTGTATCGTCATGCCCTTCTTTTGGGATCAACGAGATAAATGCTGTCTTCCAAGTTGTTGGAAGCTGTCTCCTCCCTGTTCTATATTGTTAAATAATTCTTTCAACGGTTCTATCATTTCCTCCTGTACGGTTTTATAGTAAATAGCCGTCAAACCGTCCGTCCCAGGAGCGTTACCCACTTTCAACTGCTTAATTGCTAACGCAATTTCCTCGGAAGTTATCAATTGATTTAAACTATCCCTCTGCTCATTTGAAATTGTATAAATATTCTCTTTCTGCAAATATCTATCTATATCTTTAATTTTATCACCAGTATACAGCCTCGAATAAAACTCTAAAAAAGATTTTTTAATCAATTGTTGCTCATAAACCTCTTTACCCTTATATTTTATTCTCTCTATTGTCCTTGATTTTTGCTTTTTCCTTAACAAATATGCTAACCACCTGCCTGGTTTATTGGCATTGTAAAAAGGATTGTGTTTTGCATATCTTAAATTAGTTGCCACTTGATCTGCTATTAACATATTAAATTGACCTTTCAATAAATTGATTGCCTCTTTAATTTTCTTATCTGTTGGATTAGGTACTAAAGCCCGTTCCTGTTTACTAATCTCATCTTCTAATTCTTTTCTTTTTGTCCCCTGTTTCTTTCTATATTTATTATTCAAATATATCAAAATTCCTCGCATATATGCCTTACTTGCATCCCATACCATTTCCATCGATGTACCCTTTTGCATATTCATAACAAAAAATTCTTTCATAAATTTTTTACACTCTTTTACATTTTCTTCATACCTAAACAAATTATCATTTAACCTCCAGGACCTCCTAGGCCCTTTCTCATACTCCAATTCCAGCCAAACTGGACTATGGTCTGTCAATGTTCTTGAGCAAATCTTCGTATTTTTCACCCTAGATAAAAGATCGTTAGTAATTAATATGAAATCAATCCTTGAAAAGGATTGATGTCTATCTGAAAAAAAAAGTAAAATCTTTTTCTTCCGGGTTTCTTTCACGCCAGATATCTCTCAACCAGTCATCCATCATTTCCCAAAACACTTTGGGCAATTTTGCTCTTGTTAACACATTTTGTTTAGGTCCCTTCTTGTCTTTTTAAACGTCCAAAACACCATTCCAGTCGCCTAACAGGATACAAGTTTTATATGCCCACTGTGTCAATTTTGAGTGTAGTAAATTATAAAAGTTTTCTTGTTGTTGATTCGGGGCATAAACTCCGATTACAAGTATTTTTTCTCCTTTTATTAAAAGTTCTATCGCTAAAAATCTTCCTTGATCGTCTGCTTCAATTAATTTAGCAACTAAGTCTCTTTTCAAATATATAACTATACCATTTTTCTTTTCTGGTGCTGCTGCTACGTAAGATGTACCAAGTCTTGCATTAATCAAATATTTTTGATCTTGTATTCTTATATGAGTCTCTTGTAAGCAAATTACTTCATTCTTAAATTGCTTAAGATAGTGAAATATTTTTCTTCTTTTCTGTGGAGAATTCAAGCCGTTAACATTCCAAGTCAAAAATCTAGTTCCCATCTCTGGGCCTTTGGAGCCTCTGAAGCAAGTCCTGATGCTCTGATCTCATTTGAGTTTTAGGTCTTGCTCCCCCCACTGCTCCTGTTTTAGTAGTATCTTGAATCATTTCTTGAGTTGCCATCTGGGATTGTTGCTGTCTTAATTCTTCCTTGAGTCTAGCTGTCACCGATCTGGTCTGTCTTTGATCCTTTGGTAACTGCGAGAAATCAATCAGCGCCAACTCTTGAGTAGCCATTTGGATTTGTAATATTTCTTCTTGATCAGCCAAAGCTCCCCCCTGAACTACTGTCAAGAGCTCTTCTGTCTCAGCTTCCATTACTTCTTTCTTTCTTTTGCCTTCTGGTGATTTAGTTGATTTGGGTGTGCCAGCCTTTAATACATTAGTATGAAAATCTCTTGCTTTCCAAATTGTATTAAGCCGATATCTCTCTCCTGAGTAAGTCACCACTAGTCCAGTTGGCACCTCCCATCTGTACTGTATCTGACGTTTTCTCAGTTCATCCACCAGAAAGGCATACTCCCTTCTAGCTCTCAAGATCTTAGGGGGGATTTCTTTCATTGTCATTACTTCCTGGCCTTCCACCCGAAGCTTGTTTTTAAAAGTAGCCTGTAGAATTTCGTTGCGTACTCTCCTTGTAGTAAAATATATCACAATGTCTCTTGGTAGATATTTCTGTCTAGCAATCCAGGAATTAACGTGGTACAGCTTGTCCATCTGCCAGCCCAGATCATTTTTTGACTCCCCCACCAGCGGTGCCAATGCCTCAGACATCATTTCTCTCAAATTCTCTTGTTTATTCTCCTTCACTCCTCTGAATCTTAAAGCAAATTCCATGTCTCTGTATTGTATCATTATTACATCGTCTTCAGCCCTTTGAATTCTGTTTTGAGCTTCTCCTATTTTACTATCCAAAATTTCAGAAGATTGTTTAATTTCCTCAACTCTGTCATCCACCATCTCAATATTGCCTGCCAGACACTTAAATGCCATTAATATATCATCCCTAATCCCCTGATTGCGAATTGCAATCTCATCTGACACAGCCTGTATCTTTTCATTAGTTTCCTTAATTTTTTCATTAGTTTCCTTAATTTTTTCATCAATCACATCAACAATTTTATTTTGGGTGATTTGGAGAGCTTGTTGCAACATTTCCAACGTTAGGGTCTGTGGATCCGCTGGAGGAGCAGGAACTTGTAATCTAGGAATATGAGCTGGGGAGCTACCAGCACTCCCAGTTCCTTTAGTAGGAACAGTTTTTACAGACTTTGAGGCCATTTCCAGTTTGAAATTAGTCTTTATATTTAATCAGAGTCAAAAAGAAGAGTTCCTCAAAAGATTTCCCAATATTAATTAACATTTAAAATCCTCCTTCTGTCAGCACAAAAGCTTTTTTTTTTTCCAGGCGAAGGGCTGCCAGCAAAACGAAACTTTTCCTGTAACTTTCCGTTTCCCCCGCCCTTTCAAGCTTCAATCGCCATATTGTTGCAAAGTACTAAGTGATTACTTCTGAAGGAGGCTCTAGGCATTGGAGTTAGGTAAAAAATACTTGCAGTCTGATTTCTCCTTGCTTGTTCCGCCTGCTGTTAGTTCAAGATGTTAATTCCCTCATTTCCATTCAGCAAGATTGGTCGCGGCTTCTAATTCGGCTAATTAGCGGAGACGTCCCTGGTCTGGAGCGGCTTGACAGGCTTTTAGGGAACGTGCGCCCTTCGCGCCCCAGGATTTTTCCTAGGGCGTTCGGGGGGGCCCTACCTCCACCTGCCTGCTCTTCTCTCTCCCCTTTGCCCGGGGAGAGAATTTCAAGCCTCCAGACAGCGTTTGTCAGCTGTTCTGGGGCTTTAACGGAGCCAGGGAGCGGACGCTCTCAAAAGAACGTCTTTCGAGGCTCGCGGAGCCAAGCGGAAGTCCCTATATAACAAATATCTTGATCCATGTTGTTCCTTCAGTTTTTAATTATATTATATATTCATTATATTTGATTTGATGAAAAGTCAAAAGATTATCGTACTTAACATTGACATTTGGAACTCTGGAAATAATATATCTATTTTTCCTTCTCCCTTAAGTTATCATATTACTCATTTTAATATTGTATTAAAATATTATTACAATAATATTGTAATAATATTTAATATTGTAATATTCCATAGTAGATTATTAAGAATGTAGTTTTTTGAATGTATCGAAAGAACAAATTGTATTACAACAGAAAAAATTAGAACAATAGATTAGGCTAGATTAGAATAGGCTAGATTCAATCATATATTAAAGGCCAATCTAGTTTATAAATATACTTTAGTAGCTTTGCCCAAAATCTTGGAGATCAACATTTGGGTTTTGATCTAAGAGAAAATGTTAATATTTCTCCTTTTTTTCAGGTCCGTTACAATTTTCCTTCCCTGGTTTTGAGGGACAGAAAACAATTCCCTTTTTTTTACTCAACTTTTCCCTCAGAAACAAACGAGTATGTAGGAATCCTCAAAATCCTCCAGTATTTCAAGTGGACATTGACTGCACTGCTTGCTGCAGATAACGAAGAAGGAGAGAAGTTTATAAGACTTTTCACATCTATACTTGACCAGAATGGTATTTGTGTTGTTTTCATAATAACCATTTCAGAAGTCAACTCTGATCATAAGGAGAAGGATGTTGGCCTTTTCAATAAATGGAACAAAGTCAACATCTTAATTTACCATGCTGAGATCAAAACCTTCACATATGGATTTTCAAGAATACTATATTTCCTGATGGACAAGTGGGGATACGTTGAGGGGAAAGTGTGGATCATAACAGCTATTTGGGACCTCACCTTACGAATGTCATTTATTCCAAAATTCAGGAACAAAAGCTACCGTATCTTTTCTTTCCTTAGTCGCGTAAATAAAAAAATTAATTGTGATAATTTTGAACAACTTGAGTCTTTTACTGAGAGATTTGTAGAGCGAGTATATTCGTGTTCCTATTCAAAGCCTGCTCCATCTGTGAAAGGCTGGACAAGGTGCACAGAGAAAGAAAAACGGAGGCGTCTGTCTCAAGAGTTGAGGGAAAAAATTCTGTCCCTGAATGGCTACCACATTTACTACACCGTCTGGACTGTTGCACATGCTTTACATGCGGCCTATTCTCTCCGGTCCCAGAGAAGGGCCACAAAGAATAGAAACAGGTCAGGAGTTCAAAGAGTACAGCCTTGGCAGGTACTTTCCTTTTCCATCAGAAAGATTTGTGCTAGACAGGAGAATCCACTCTCCCATTTCAGAATTTTTGGACTTTTTTTGAGATCTCACATAAACCAATTATTACATTTAACTTCATTTTCATCCGATTGTATGAAGTTGGGGAATTATAGGGTGTTCAGATTCACCTTCAAGAGGCAGAGCTCCTGCAGCTTGCAAATAAATTAATATAAGTACTTTCTTAGTATCTGACTGAGGAGGTGCATTCATGTCCTTTAGTAACCTGATTTGGATTAATCTCCCTTTCTGTAGCCTGTCTTGAAAGATGCAGTCTGGTGCTGAAATTAAAAGTTTTGTCACTGAATCTGTTGCCAGATATCTGGGTTGGTCATTTGGAAAGTTGGAGAGAAGTTGATGTTTTGACTATAGCTGTTTCTTTTACTACCTTGAATTATAATATTCTTTCTGTACATAAAATTAAATCTATATCACTTGGGGTGAGAGGGAGGGAGAGGGCCAGGCATGCAGGGAGCTTCCATGACTGAGGGTGTAATACGTAGCCAGTTTCCAATCTCCTGGTCCAACAACTTCCCCAAATAGTTTCAAATTTGCAGCTAAGTGACTACAAGAATATGAGCATAAAACATCTTTTTTCTGCCCATTATTCTAATGTTCTCTACATTGAATCCTTAGTCCATGAGTGAGACCATTTTAGGTCATGTTCAGCTGTATTGGTGCTAAAATAGCTTTACTTCCTTCATTCTGAAACTATTTGATGGCAGCTTCAATGGTGTCTCTATTAGACTCAGTCACTAATGAAGAGAAGTCAATAACTGAGAAGAGAGACAAATACCAAATCAGCATTGATTGGTTCCAAATCCAAGTTAGATTGGAAGCTCTTCAGCTCAGCTGTGGGGAATTGTCCTTAGTCCCTCGACCAAGCCCTGAGTTTCAGGAAAGTCAGCTGTGGAATTGGGTGAATTTAGATCTCAATCTTGTTTCCTGTTTTCTTCCATTCATTCATTTTACTTTGGTATTTTAGCTTCACCCTTTCCTGCGCATCTCCCAGCATTACAATAATTCCCTACAGGGAGTCTATTTGGATGAAAAAGGGGACCTGGCAGCTGACTTTGACATCACGTATTGGGTGAGGTTTCCCAACTGGTCTGTTTACAAAACGAACATTGGGAGCCTGGAAAGAGAGGGATGCTCAGAAGGCACATTCAATTTCAGAATGGACCAGGATGCAATCAAGAGGGCCGTGCAAGTTGATGAGGTGAGGAAGTTAATGTATTTAAATTCTGCATATTTCTGTGTCTTGTAATAGCAATGGCAGACCCATAAAATAAATAGGAAAGTAAATAAGAAAAGTGAAGAGCAGCCCACCCTTTGGCAGGAAAGGATGGAAATAACGTAAGACCAAAACTTGTCTTTCTAGCTGTGAGGGAGAAGTCTCAAAAAGCCATCTCTATGGTTGCTTCACTGCACCTTCTGACATAGGCCCACAAGAGAGTCACAGAGGTTAAGCACTTTGTTCTCTTTGCTATATGCAGTTGTGGTTCTTTCAATTCTCTAAGTTTAGATTCAGCAAATTATAACTTGGGCCAGGAGTTCTCTTGGGTTCTTTTGTTTTACATCACATTTCACAGGGACATCAACTCTACCTATTTCTTCTTCTCATCGTTCCTATTACCCATCTCCTCCCACTTATGACTGTATGACTGTAAGCTTGTTGCTTGTATTCTTACGATTTATATTGACTGTTCCTAATATGATTTGATTGATTATTTGTACCCTATGACTATCATTAAGTGTTGTACCTTATGATTCTTGACGAATGTATCTTTTCTTTTATGTATACTGAGAGCATATGCACCAAGACAAATTCCTTGTGTGTCCAATCACACTTGGCCAATAAAGAATTCTATTCTATTCTATTCTATTCTATTCTATTCTATTCTATTCTATTCTATTCTATTCTATTCTATTCTATTCTATTCTATTCTATTCTATTCTATTCTATTCTATTCTATTCTATTCTATTCATTGAATGTGCCTTTTCTTTATCTTCAGCACCTGCCAAGGTCTCGGTGTGTGGCTAGCTGCCTGCCTGGATCTGTCAGGCTGCTGGACCCCATGAAGCCAGTTTGCTGTTACCGTTGTGTTCCTTGTGCAGAAGGGACCATCTCCACTCAGGAAGGTGGGTGACTCCAGAGAGAAAAGTTGCCCATGTCTTTTTGGCTTTTAATATGCAGAATTATTTCTAAAAGTTTAATTGGTTCTTAGTTTATCTCATATATTTTTTTCACATTTACAAAACTAAGGGATGTTTCTCTCCCAAAGAAAGAGAGTTGGTAAAATGTTGAAAAATTGGTTTATGATATTTTTTTTTAAAATGTACAGAACCACCCAAAAAATCCCACCCTAACAACTGAAAAAATAAAAAAACACAAAAATATAAGAAACACATCATTATTAATAAAGAATCGGAAAATGAAAAAACTAAAGAAATATAAAAATATAGATGTAGCATCTTTACATCAAGGTTTTTTAAAACAATTTTCTTGTTACAAAATACAAAATACTTTCAACTTTCTTTGATAGCGAAACAAATAAAGTGACCTTTAGAACTAAATTAAACTAAATCATAATGTACAATACTTCTAAAATCAATAAACAATTCTAATAATCTAATCCCAAATGAAAGAAACTTCATTTCTGTCTGTTTCATGCAAAAAAGTCCAAGAATGATTTCCAAGTAGAGATGAAGCTAGACAAATCTTTTTCTCTAATCGAAGTGGTGAATTTTGCCATCTCTCCCAACCCCATTAACTTGGCTCTCCATTTTGCTGTATTCCAATATCTCCAAATCATTCTCTTAACAATTCCCTACACTCAGTGTTACCAAAGTTACTCAAAAATAGTTGAATACTATGAACATAGTATACTTAGACTTCAGTCAGACATTTGAAAAAGTAGACCACAACCTACTTCTTGGTAAGCTACTGTGTTTTCCCGAAAATAAGACCCTGTCTTATATTTTTTTGAACCCCGAAATAAGCGCTTGGCCTTATTTTTGAAGAAGTCTTATTATTTTGGGGTGCCTGGAGCAAGACGGGGCTCCTCTTGCCATCTTACCTGATTTCCAGCTCTGTCTCCCTAACCCTAACCAGAGGAAATGGCAGGGACAAGCTGTGCATGCATTTAAATATTTTGGGGGAGGTCTTATTTTCGGGAAAACAGGGTAGAAAAATGTGGAGTGGACAATGTCACCACCAGATAGATTTGTAGCTGGCTGACAAACATATTCAATGAGTAGTCCGTAATGATACTACATCCACATGGAAAGAAGTAAGTAGTGGAGTACCACAAGGCTCCATCTTAGGCCAAGGGCCTTTCAATATCTTCATAAATGACTTAGATGAGGGAATAGAAGGGGAACTCATCAAATTTGCAGATGACACTAAACTGGCAGGAATAATCAACACCCCAGAAGACAAGCTGAGGATCCAAAAAGATCTTGACAAACTTGAACAATGGGCCCTATCCAACAAAATGATACTTTAAGTTTTATATTTAGGCAGGAAAAAATCAAAGCTACAAGTGCAGATCAGGCAAGACTTGGCTCAAAAACAGTAACTGTGAGAGGGACCTTGGAATCCTAGTGGATAATCATTTGAATATGAGCCAGTAGTGTGCAGCAGCAGCCAAAAAAAAGCTAATACAATGCTGGGTTGTATAAAGAGAGGCATAGAATCAACATCACGTGAAGTATTACTACCACTTTATAAAACCCTAATAAGACCACATCTGGAATACTGCAACTGATTTTGGTCACCATACTACAAAAAAGATTTGACACTTTGGAATAAGTTCAGAGAAGAGCAACTAAGATGATCAAAGGCCTGGAGACTAAAACATATGAAGAATGGTTGCAGGATTTGGGATTGGCTAGTTTAAAGAATAGAAGGATTAGGGGGTGATATGGTAGCAGTATTCTAGTACTTGAGGGGCTGCAACAAAGAAGAGGGTGTCAAATTATTCTCCAAAGCACTGGAGGGCAGGACAAGCAACAATGGTTGGAAACTAATGAAAGAGAGAAGCAACCTGGAATTAAGGAGAAACTTCCTAACAGCGAGGACATTTAACCAATGGAACAGCTTGCCTCCAGAAATCGTGGGTGCTCCATCACTGGATGTTTTTAAGAAGAGTTCAGACAGTCACATATCTGAGATGGTATAGGTTCTCCTGCTTGAGCAGGGGGCTGGACTAGAAGACCTCCAAGGTCCCTTCCATCTTATTCTATTCTATTCTATTCTATTCTATTCTATTCTATTCTATTCTATTCTATTCTATTCTATTCTATTCTATTCTATTCTTTTTTGGAATAGGACTCAACATTAAGTTAATCTCTTTATCATTGAAAGATTTCAACACCAATGAAGAAGGTGGATGTTGTATTTGTTGTTTGCAGATGCTGAACATTGTGTGAGATGCCCCAAGAACCAGCAACCTAACAAGGAGCGAATTCGGTGTGTTCCTAAGGTAATCGTCTTCCTATCCTACACAGAAGATCTGGGGATCATCCTTACTTCTGTTACTGTATTTTTCTCTTTGAACACCTGCTTTGTTTTAATCATATTCATTAAGCACCTGGAAACTCCAGTAGTCAAAGCCAACAACCGGGACCTGTCCTACCTACTCCTCATTGCCCTCCTGCTGTCCTTCATGTCTTCCTTCTTCTTCATTGGCCAGCCAAGTAGAGTCACCTGCCTTCTTCGACAAGCAGCCTTCAGCATCATTTTCTCTGTGGCTGTCTCTTCTCTCTTGGCCAAAACCGTTATGGTGGTGCTGGCATTCCTAGCCACCAAGCCAGGAAATAATGTGAGGAAATGGCTGGGGAAGCCTTTGGGGAACTCCATTGTCCTTTGTTGCTCTTTTGTCCAAGTTACAATCAGCGCTATCTGGTTAGGTACCTCTCCCCCATTCCCAGACTCAGATATGACTTCCCAGGCAGGAGAGATTGTTCTGCAGTGCAACGAAGGCTCTGTTGCCATGTTCTACACAGCTCTCTGCTACATGGGCTTCCTTGCAGCCATCTGCTTCACCGTAGCTTTTGCAGCCCGAAGTCTGCCTGGGGCCTTTAATGAAGCCAAGCTGATCACCTTCAGCATGCTGGTTTTTTGTAGCGTTTGGATCTCCTTTGTGCCCACCTACCTCAGCACCAAGGGCAAGTACATGATAGCTGTGCAGGTCTTCTCCATCTTGGCCTCCAGTGCTGGACTGCTGGGCTGCATCTTTTTCCCCAAGTGCTACATTATTCTTTTTCGACCTGATCTGAATAAAAAGGAGCAGCTTATTTTGAAAAGCAAAACAGAAATGTGATTTTAAATGTGCAGACCTTAGCAAGCAGTCTGAGACCCATTTGCTTACCTCTGTTCCCAAAGAAATTTTTTAGATAAAAATGATAATATCTTAGGGAAGCTTATTTTGTCTGCTTTATGCTTACATTTTAAGTAACACCCAATTTATTAAAAACAATACCAACCACCGGGAGATCCATTTACTTATCTCTCTTCCCCAAAACAAATATTTAGATCTATCTCAGCACCAAGGGTAAATACCATGTTTTCCTGAAAATACGACCTACCCTAAAATTAAGCCCTAGCTTGATTTTTACACATGTGTCCAATATAAGCCCTATCCCCAAAATAAGCCCTAATTAAAACCCCACCCACTCCAGGGTGTATGGGTAAAAATTAAGCTAGGGTGGGGATAGGGGTATGGAGTTGCCCTACTACTTACCTTCTGACAGTTACAACCAGGCCTCGCACACCTCAACACCTGCCTTGCTGGCCCATTCCTTCTGCAGCCAGCAAGGCTTTCCTGAAGGATTCTACAGCCAATAACAGAGCTCCGAATCAATCCAGAGCTCTGTTATTGGTTGCAGAGGTCTTCAGGAAAACCTTGTCGGCCTTGCTGGCTGCAGAAAAAGTTCCTGAAGGCCTCTGACAGCGAATAGGATACCAGGGGCAACGCACACAAGTGAGGTGAGTCAGTGGATGACATTCCCCCTGAAAATAAGACCTGGTTCTTTTTTGATAACAAAACAAAACAAAAAAGGACAGGGTTTTATTTTTGGGAAAACACGGGTACAGTGGTGAAATTCAAAATTTTTTACTACGAGTTCTGTGGGCGTGGCTTGGTAGGCGTGGTGCAGCTTGGTGGGAGTGGCTTGGTGGGCATGGCAGGGGAAGTATACTACAAAATCTCCATTCTCACCCCACTCTAGGGCCAGCCAGAGGTGATATTTGCCAGTTCTCCAAACTACTCAAAATTTCCGCTACCAGTTCTCCAAAACCTGTCAGAACCTGCTGGATTTCACCCCTGATCTCAATTTTGTTTCCTGTTTTCTTCCATTGATTCATTTTACTTTGGTATTTTAGCTTCACCCTTTTCTACGCATCTCCCAGCATTACAATAATTCCCTAAAGGGAGTCTATTTGGATGAGAAAGGAAACCTGGCAGCTGACTTCAACATCACATATTGGGTGAGGTTTGCCAACTGAAGAAAAAAATTAAAGATAAAAATAAAGACTACTGTAGAATTCAAACTCTCAGTGGTTTGTGAGAAATTGGTTGTTGTCTTCTGACTATGGATCTGTGAAACATCCAAATCCTTTTATGATCTCATATCAGATCAGGGATGAAATGCTCCCGGTTCGGACTGGATCGCCTGATCCGGTAGCAATGGAGGCGGGGGGTTCGGAGAACTGGTAGCAAAAATTCCTGCCCCCACCCTCCATGCCCAGCTGAGCCGCACAATCATAAGAGGCTTTTTTTTTACTTTTAAAAGCATTTTTTCTACAACCTCTTCGGCCAAAAAAATGCTTTTAAAAGTTAAAAAAAAAAAGCCTCTGATGATCGCGCAGCTCAGCTGGGATCATCCAAGGCTTTTAAAAGAAAAAAAACCTTTTTTTTTTTAAAATGCCTCTGACGATCCAAGCTGAGTTGCCTGATCGGCAGAGACTTTTTTCTTTTAAATGCCTCTAACAATCAGGGCAACTCAGCTTGGATCGTCAGAGGCATTTAAAAGAAAAAAAGTCTCTGCCGATCAGGCAACTCAGCTGGCATTGTCAGAGGCATTTAAAAGCATTTTTTTACAACCTCTTCACTGAAGAGGTTGTAGAAAAAATGGTTTTAAAAGTAAAAAAAAAAATTGGCCACACCCAGCCAGTCACATTACCCCACCCCCAAGCTACGCCCACAGAACTGGTAGTAACAAATATTAGATTTCACCACTGCATCAGATCTCTTAGGTTCATTCTGCACATGATACTTTCCCTCATTAAGAATCAGGAGCTTGAGTTGAACTAGGTTCAGTGTAGATTAGTATTCTCTACTGCTATACAGGTAATCCTCAACTGATGACCACAAATGAGCCCCAAATTTCTGTTGGTAAGCAAGACAGATATTATCTGAATTTTATGAATTTTCTTGCCACAGTTATTAGGTGAATCACTGCAACTGTTAAGTTAGTAAACATGGCTATTAAATGAATCTGGCTTCCTCATGGACTTTGCTTGTAAAACGGTCGCAACAGGTGATCACTGCAGCCATCTTAAATATGAATTAGTTGCCAAACATCTGAATTTTGATCACAGGACCATGGGGATATTGCATGGATTGTAAGCGTGAAAAATTATCATAAGCCACTTTTTTCAGTGCGATTATACCTTTGAATGGTCACTAAACAAACTGTTGTAAATCAAGAACTACATGTAATAATTTAATCCAATAAATGGATAAGGTCAGAGACACGTCACCAGGAATAACCTTGGAAAGAAACGAAGAGCTCTAATAATAAAAAAAAAGGTGTTATGTATAATAAGAGAAAATGCCGCAGATTCACTTGAAGAATCAGCATCAGCAACAGGTAGATGCACAGGTCAAGGATTTGCAAGCTACAATAATATAGCTGCTGTAGATGCAGATAGCAGAGTGCTCAATCTGGCAAGGTTTAGTCCAGTGATGGCTAACTTTTTCCGGACCAAGTGCCCAAAGCGCGTACCCGAACCCCCAAAATGCAAAGCGAATGCGCCCCCCCTGTGCATGTGCCCCAACCCTGTGGTGCATGTGCTCGCACCATCTGCCCACGCCCCACCCCCCACACATGCGTGCGTGCCCCCTGCACACCTCCTGCCCCCCGTGAATGCATGCATACTCCCTGCACGCACCTTGTCCCCCATGCATGCGTGTGTGCTCCCCGCATGCAGAGACCCAAAGATCAGCTGGCTAGCGAGAGGCACGCACGCATGCATGGCAGAGCTGGACTGGGATGATGGCGTTGCGTGCCACCTCTGGCACGTGTGCCATAGGTTCGCCATCACAGGTTTAGTCTATTGGTGCGAAACAGTAAAGAATCAACACATGCTTTTCTTGGTTTGGGGCCTGACAGTATGATTGGGACTACCACTCCCCAACCTTTGTAACTTGGCAGCCTGGCTGGGACGGTGGGGGAACCAGGCTGGCATGTACGGATGCACACACACACAGCTCCACTCATGCAAGAGAGAAGGGAAGCCTTTAGAGTGTGGTCTTGGCTCCTTCGGTCTTCTCCCCGCCAAAACCTTTTGCAAAGGGGTAGAAGGCCTGAAGCAGCTCAAGACTGCTCCCCTGAAGTCTGTTGTGGCCCTGCCCTCTGAGCCTGTCCCATCAGAGGAAGAAAGCTCCGAGCATGAGGAAGAGGAGTCAGCCAGGCCTCCCTCTCCAGGCCCCTCCCCTCTGGCACTGTCTCAGGTGCCGGCCGAGGGAGAGGAGATTAGCAGGGAGACAGGTGGCTCGGATGAGAGCGAGGGAGAGACATCATTCCTGGACGCACGCCTCCGAAGGCGTGATAAACGATTGCAGCAGCTCAGGAGGCGTGCTAGGGATTAGAACTGAGTCACTGGACCACACCCCAGAGACTATATAATAGAGGGTGGTGGCCAGTGATCCTTGTGACGAACAAAAGTAAACCTTGGATAGTCACTAAAGCCTCGTCCGGAAACTGCTGAGAGGAATATTATTCTGATTGGACTTTTGTACGCTAAGTATCTTATCTTTCTGTTTTGTGGAAATAAACGCACTTGGCAGACGGTGTGTAAATCGCTGCCAAGTTGGAGATAAAGACCTGGGTGTGTGCCAAAGTGTTTCCTTAACCCTCGGCTGGCTGTGTTTGTGTTTGTGTGTGGACGGGGACAGATCAAAGTCTTTCGTCTGTGTGCAAAAGCTTTTGGCATGAAGAAGGGCAGCCTTTGGGGTGCAGTTTCAGCTACTTCAGGCTTCTCCACACCAAAAGCTTTTGCAAAGGGATGGAAGGCCTGAAGCAGCGCAAGATCTCATGCTCCTTCAGACTTACCAAGGCTGCGCAATGCTCCAAAGTGGATTGGTTGTCCTACTCAGGCAGCCTCAGTGAGTCAGCGAAGCTGAGCAGGGCACACTCATTCCATCCAGCCTCTGGTCTCACCGTTCTGCTTTTGGAGCTTTTGGCTTGACAGCCAAACTGGGGGTGGGAGAGGGGAACTGGGCTATGCGAGCAGCGGGCCGGTGCCTGCGCATGCGCAGCTCCACTCATGCAAGAAAGAAGCCTTTGGGGTGCCACTCGCATGAGTGGGACTGCAGGCGCCGGCACCTGCCCACTTGTGTGAGTGGGGTTGCACGCCTGCATGTGTGCCAGCCCACCACTCATGTGGCCCAGTTGCGAATAGGCCATGGCCTGGTACTGGGTCATGGGGCACAGATTGGGGACCCCTTGCTTTAAGCGAAGCCCCATGTAGATCAGCATTTTGCCACATGCCTTGATTTTCCTTTCAAATTCACATAACCAGAAGTCCTATCTCTTCTACCTCCGTGTCCATTTATGATGACACTTGTAAGTATCGCAATGCTTTGGTTTAGGGAAGCTTACAACTGAATGTTTATTTAGCTCAAGGCTTCCAAAAGAACCTACTTTTTCCGGTTGTGGTTAGAGCGAGAACTTCACACTTGCCAGAGTTTATAGTTTTAAAAGTAGGGGAATAATTAGGATAATGAGGATCCCTTAGTCCTTGAAATGACTGACAGGCGCCACACTTATCTGAGTAGAATAAATTTGTAGACAGCTTGCAATTTTTCCCGCAACCAGACACAGTCATTTTGAGATGTGTCAATCCCAATCCATCTCAGTATACAGGTACTCCTCACTTACTGACCACTATAGGGACTGGCAACTCCATCACTAAAGGTTGGAGTTATTAAGCATGATGTCACATGGCCATGCCAACCCACCAAGTCCATTCTGGTTGTGAAGTGAATCCCATGCAGTAATTAGGTGTCCCATGGTCATTATTTGCCAGTTTCCTCGT